ATTTTTACTAAAAGAAAAGTATTAAAAGGTCTATAAGGCTATTTATTAATATGAAATAATATCAATTTCTCAATCCAACTTTTGAGAAATTTTAAATGCATCTTTTGCAAAGGTTAATGCAAGAAAGGTTAATGTTAGTGCCGAGTGGGTCATTACAATTTCAGTTTATCCAAACTATTCCTCCACGGCTTTTGGCTCTTGGCCTAATGAGCTTAACCGTCTCACGATCGCATACTAATATTCTACACTACATTTACATTTTTATTTTATTGCAACCATGACATTGTATAAATAAAATAATTTAGAGAATCGTATAAATACTCTCTAAAAACATTTTTTGAAGTAATACTATAGTATTAATAGTAGTTGTAATACTATAGGTTGACAATTAATATTATGACTATTATTTCATCACTTATTTGAATATCAAGGAATAAATATGCTTTAAAAATCTGTAGGAGAACAGTGCACATCGCACAAAAGAATTATTTTACTGTAAACAGCCGCGGACGGCCGCAGTTCGATGCAAAACAGGAAATTCTTGATGTCTCTCGCAGTTCAGACATTCTTCATTTCTTATTGTATGTTTTATTTTCAGCCAAGTACTATGACACATACTTAAAAGAAATCTTGAATGATGGTTTTTATTACGGAAACGGAACGTTCATTGCGTTCCTTACTATTTTTACTTTAAGAAATGAATCAAGCTTATTATTTATAAAGAGGATAGGATATTCACATTTGATTTTGATTTTATGAGTTTTGAGCACATTGAAGTTCTGTGGCATCATGGGGGGAGGGACTTTTTCTGTAACTTAACATTTATATATATACAGGGTGTAAGGTACATCGTAATGAATACTGAAATAGTGTAAACAGAACTTTTCTGAGAAAACAAAATTATAAATCCCGCATACGGTCAAAAACTGTAATTAATCAAACAGCCGAAGCGCGCGGGGCCTCCCCTCCGGCCGCCAACTTATGTCGGTGTGAGTAGACTGTTTGCACGGAATACACAATCATGTAGTTATTACTTTTTTGCGATACCTACGGGGAATGCTCTTTATCTTTGACAGCTGATTGCATAAAAAGTTTAATTTTCCGGCAAAAAATGCCAATGACTTTAGACTCAGAATTATGGTCTAAATACACTATTTCAGTATTCGTTACGAAATCCCTTACACCGTGTATATGATGAATAATTAGTATTCCTATAATATCATTAAGTACATAATTTAAATGCAAACTGACTAGATAAATTTTGTTTTTCTACCCCCAATTTCTTATGTTTTCAAACAAATAATTACGAATTATATCATCTGGGTATATAATGTATCATTTATATGAGGAACACTTGAAGTCAATCAGTCCTAAAAAGAATCGTTCGGATATTGATACCATCAAAGAAATAAAACAAATCCGTTGAGAGATGTCACCTGATGTACCCTGTTGTGTCCATTTTTATCAAATGAAGTGTAATGTAAACAGGGTAACAAGTCGTGCAAAAATAATTTGTTAAAAATTGTTTGAATAAATATATATCTAGTCTAACTTTTGTTTATAAAGACCGAAGCAACAACACTTACAAATCATACCTTATCAAGGTTAGTGTGTCTTACAAAAATATAGCACTACCGGTATGCATTAATGTACCTATCTGTATATCTACTTGTGTGCGCTGCTACTATTTACTTTACTATACCTATACAAGTTACAATGGAGATCAAAAGGAGTAACACGAAAATGCTAGGCTAAATATTAGTGATATAAGTTTAAATAGCCCATGCACCGTTGGAATCTCTCCAAATGTTATCGATAGACATATTGAATACTAATACCACGACAAGTTTCAACATTGCGTCCCAGACGCCCTAGTCTAGAATACTAATTCGATGAAATTGTTATCATTAAACATTTGTTTTGTGATGGGTATACGTGAAAGTGATACGCGACCAGCATCGTTTTATTCTACCGTAGAAACAGACAAACATCTGAATGCCATGTACGTAGATGTTTTCTTAGATAAATGTGTAGCTAAATGCCTTATAGATAACGTCAAAGTTGCTTGTAGTTTTTATGATAAGATTTTTTAGTTAGTCTGAAATATATAATAATCACTTATGTAATTATTATGCATAGGTAGTTGTTTCGAGGTCAATGTGTGCGAACAAATATATATATACTACTAATTTAATTAAAAAATACTGTAATTGCATAAAACAAATGCAAGTCGTATTTATTAGAATGTTTTCATACGAAATCCCGAAAATAAAACAGTTGATGGTCAATCTGTACATAATACATAATAATAATCTGAACAATTATATCTATCGAATATTTATTTTCTTATTTCATGAAAACGCGCTGCGAATAGTGAGGAACAGTAACGTACCCTTGGTTACCATTACATAAGCTACTATACTACACAGGAAAATCATCATATCAAGCTATTGAAGAACTAGATTTCGTATTAGTTCATTTTACATCTTCATAAGGAACCTTTATTCCCTTCTTTTATAGTAATGCACCGTAATCGTTCTATGCAGACGCAGTTTCACAAGGCCTGAATTTGTATTTGGACTCAATTTAATCCACAGTATGCTATTACTAAACTTGACAGTCATACACAAAAGAAATACAAACCTAGTACTTATGTTGCCCCTGTCTTTTATTCAATTTAATTTTAAAACATCAGTATACTTATCTTAGAAAACTGATAGGTAGCTAAGTATTCGTAGAAATAATTGCCAATTTGTAATAAACTATTTGATTTATTAGAATTTCGCTAGTTAACTTTGAAATAGCAATTATTGCCTAGTGCTTATTTTATGTACAAGTATATACTAAATTCACACTTTCATAATAAATACTTTCAACGTAATATATATTAATGTCGCTACTACTAAAAGAGAAACAACAATTTATGCTCACGAAATAAAACTCATATAAAATAGTTAATAATAACTTACCTACATTTCTACAAACACTATGAAATAGGTTTCTACAAGATTAAACAAGTGCTCACTTGTCATGACATTAAATCTTGCAACCTTAAGAAATTGATTTCAACAAAAAAAAACGGTATCCTTCTTATTAGAAAGTTGGACTTGTGATTAAAAGATTGTGCATTTGAACTCACAGTGTAACAACGCAAAGCGGCTGCTAACTATGACTATGTATAATTGTCCCCCTGTCGACCGATTAACAAGCATGTCAGAGTATAAGAGATAAGAATTTTGCTATTTTCCAAATGAATTTGGCTGTAACTAGCATAACAAGACGCGACTTCGGATACATTCCCTAATTTGAATTGATTTAAATCCAATGATGACTACTTACTCGAAATAATGTTATAGTAGTCTCCGGCAGAAAACAACTTTCAACAAACAACACATCACTTTATAATGACAATGTTGTTTGGATTATTACTTATAGATATATACATTAAAGAGATTTACAGATTGTGTTATAATAATAATATGTAAACAAAATTTGAAGCTAATATATACTTGAATCGTCTTATAATAAACCCCGGCATGCAGCATTTTAACCAGCCTCAAAACAAAAGGTTCTTAATTGGCTGTATTGTTATCTCACACAACTTCGTTACTATAAGCTTAAAAAATATTTGAAAAGAGGTACAGATTGTATGGTTCTTTTTAAAAAATTTAAGGTATGAAAATCAATCTCTAAGGGTGCAAAAAGGGATTGGAGAATACAGTTTATAACAATTCATCACGATGTAGGTGCATTGGAGTTGAATGTTCAAGAAAATAGTATTTTAAATTATGTAATATTCTATAAAGTTAAAACATGATATAATTTAAGTCAAAGTCGCACCTGCATTGAAGTCGGTGTTTTTTTTTGTAAAGCAGATTGCAAAAAGAGTTTTAATTAAATTTACTAGATGTAGGTTTAGATTGACTTGGCAAAGTGTGATTCGACTGAGCAATTTACTAATTATGTAATTATTACATCTCGTTCTATTATTCATTCTCTTTCTATTTCTTACTATGTCGTTATTATATTGATAAAATGAAATTACTGTATAGTGATAAAAGTATATACTCGTATATATATAAATTATTAAGATTTTTGTGATCTCTTTGACCCTGACAAATCTCTAAAACAAAGTAAAAAAGTACGATTATCGATATTATCGTTTTATATTATAATTATTTTGTTTGCTTTTAGTTACTATTTATTTTTATATGTAAAAAACCATTTTGCAGTTATGTTTTCAATTCCTTTAATTTTTAAACTAAATTTAAAAGGCCGGCCATTGTGCACTTTACGTATAAAATATCTGTTTCTGTATGTTTGTTTAATTGCTTTTGGTATACAGTTTTTTATATATAGTATTATTATCATTGTATGTGTTAATTCTCATGATATAAATATTGTTTAATTATAGCCATACAATTTAGATATTAATAAGTTAGGTCTGATAATCCGCCATTTAGTTTACTTGCACTGTGTAAGCATTGTTATTCAGCACCTTTAAAAACCATTAATTACTTTTACTGAATCTTACAAATATTTAAAATGGAATAAATATATTTAATGCAATACAAATAAGATAAATTGTAACGGTATTCAAATAATGATTCTACATGTACTAAGAGGTAATGGTTTCATAAGATCAGCCGGTATTATCTAATAAAGCAAATTGTTAATAGAGTTTTCCGGTGGTAGATATACAAGTACAAATCGTAAATTAGTTCGGAACGTTTCGGTTGCAGTGGGGCGGACGCGCAGCGGCGGGCGGGATAGATAGCAACATGGCGAGCGGCCGGATGCTGCGCGCTACAGCCTCCGCCACGGGCGTAGTACGCCAGGAACAAAGCCGCGTCCCACCCTACTCGCTTCCTGCCTCGCTGATAGCCTCTCCGGTCAACTCGGTCTCAACACAATTTCATGTGTGAAACTACCACTAAAATCGACAAAAGATAGTGAAACATTCACTTTATAATGACAAAATAGTACTAATAGACACGTACAGTGATGGATAGATGTAGTCAGAGACGGGAGCGCGTGTGTCGCACGTGTGGCGTCGAGAGCGCGGTCCGCGGGCTACTGGCGGCAGCCTCCGAGAGGCGGGGGCGCGGGGCTGCGCGGGCCGCGCTTTTCATTAAGGAACCGAGCTACGCCGCCGTAGCAACGGTCGCCGCCCCGGCCGCGGACGGGAAAGCTCCTAGCTCTTTGATTTATCTTCAAACATACCGAGAAAAATTGCATGCTACTACCCACCTCCAGGATTATTTTTTATTATTACTCAAATAAAACTGATATTAAAAGATTACCTGAAATATGACCTTCAGATGTTTATTTAGATAATTGTATTCTCCTAATCTAGTAACTTCCGTGCGACACATTCAAAATAAAGAAAATTTTTCACCACTCATAGCTCCTTTTGAAATTACCTATACAGGACTCAAGGCTTTGCACGCCGGTAGATGTATAACGTAACACGAAATGGATCTTACATATAAAACCTCCTTTCTAAGGAGAGTCCTATGTCCAGCAGTGGTCTACTGAAGGCTGTTGATGATGATGCAAAATCACTTAAAAACGAAGTAAGTACCTACATATCTCAAAATATCAATATACATTCTTAATAAATATTTTAGGCAAATTTCGTTCTATTTAAATTCCTATTACATTAGAATAATTTAAAACCTTTATTTTAAAAAGCTTACCCTCAAATTGAGCAATGATTAGACTCCTCTGGCAGCGCGGGCCAGTTCCTTACACGTAGTATATACTTCGCTTACACGTTATATTATATGTAAGTAGAGTAGTACTTTGTCTACTACAACTGTTACTTTATTGATTGAGTGTCACTAAAAATAACGACATCCCTAAAAAACATTTTTGTGCTCCATAAAGTGTCACAGGATACAGAATGATGATTCTAACTTACAAGAAATAAGGAAATTATCCTTTTCCTTAGTTTTTCATGCAACTATGTCATGAAGGACCACTTAGTAATCTTAGCTTGTGCGTTTGTTAATTAAACCTGACGTCACCAGTGAAATTACCTCCTTACGAGTACGAAGTGAATGGAGTATCACGAAGTGACTGTGTATGTGGATATCATGTCCTTTACTGCATGTTCTGTATTCGCGGTTAGCTCGAGTGAAATAGGCTGAATGGCAAAACAATATCTGTACTGCAGTTACAATAGTGGCAGTAATAAAGTCCATCTTCAATAAATTTTATATAGTTAAAAATGTTCAAGAGAATAGTTAACGCAATCATAAGGATATTTAATCTTCATGGCTGCGTGAACTATCCAATTGCATGTTGCCGGTGGCCGGAGGAGAATAGACATTTTCTTTTATTGTTTAGGTAATAGCAAAATGTGAGGCCTCAGAAAGTAACATAAGGCTAGACCTTATACTTAATCAAAATGATGATTGGTGTGACATAACTGCTTATATGTTATTTATTCAGATTGAGTGAACTAACTTCACACAAAAATTCTACTTAATCATTTTAAAATCACGTTACGACCGAGTAAAAAAGATTAGGAATAGAAATATGAGGATTTTAAATCTGCTGAATATGTGTGTCCATATCTATAAACAGCAAAAATTTATTTACATTAATGGTATGGACCAAGTGATTGATATGGTTGTGGTTCGTAATTTCAAATTTTTGGGGGATTTTTACTCTCGGCCCAAAAAAGAGATGAGGTTTATGTTAGTAAATAAGTGCTTCATACTAGTAGGTAATATAATAAAGAAAACGTTGAAAGAAAAGTGTTGTGTTGACTGTTTTCCAAAATTCAAAATACAAACTTAACTGTGCAATTCCAGAAATACTGTCTCACACATCAATATATGATACAGTCAACCAACCACGAAACGTAAGTTATTAATAGCAATAAGTATTATTTTATGTTTTTTTTTAATGGGACTAATCCCTCCTACACGCTCGCCTCTGTAACCCCTGTGCACCAGTATCAACAGCAGTGACCCACGAACACACCGAGTCATGGCACTCGGGAAGTCCCAGGTAAAAAACTAAACTGTCTTGGAACCCGCAACGAAATTAATCAGAAGAAAAACGAATTATAATAAGATTGGCTTCATGACTATTGCAACCATAAAGTGCACTGTGACTTTACTAAATATTTTCGTGCAAAATGTATCGAAATATTCCTGCAGAAATGCAGTTCATTGTGTGCTCTCGTGGTTACAATGTAGTTAGTCCTCAAATTTGAAATACGTCCTTGCACCGTAGACGTAGACACGACGTAGACCTTGCACCTACCGACTATTACTTTTTCCAAAATTTAGACAACTTTTTAGTGGGTAAAAAATTCAATTCCCGAGAGGCAGTACAAAATGCCTTTGAAGAGTTTGTTGCCTCCCGTCCAGCTGATTTTTACAAGAAGGGCATCAATAAACTGCCAATGCGTTGGCCAAGATGCGTCGATTGCATGGGTGATTACTTAGAATAACAGAAATAAAAAAGTTTGAAAAAATAAGTACTTTCACTTATTGCATACAAAACGGCAATTTCATAGGTAAGGACCTAATGTTGAATATATATAAATGTTGAATGTATTTTTCAATTATTATATTTTTGAAAATATCGTTACTCTTCTTGATACTTTGATATTTATTGTATTCTACAGAAAAAATGTACAATAAGGAGTCTAGGACACACGTGTTTGGTTGGTTGTCTTGACTTAAATCGCTTAGAGTAATTTTTAATTCTCCTTCCCAAATTTAAAAATAAATTTTCATCATCATCAGCCTTTAATAATCCACTGCTGAACATAGGCCTCTGCTTAGAAAGATTTTCATAAGTTTATCAATTCTGTGTCTTGAAATCTTTTTGTTTTATTGAAGTAATGTCTCATTCTTAAAATAACCTTATGTTATTCTAACATTAGCTTTCTTTGACTTTTTAAGTTTTACTGTCGATAATTATTTAAGGTACTAGGTAATCAGTAATTCCCGATGAAGATGTTCGTAACAATATTAACATGGGAGAAATACATGAAATGTTATTCTTCAAATGAAATAGGCAATTTTAAAGTGACCTGGATACTTACTTAGATATCGAAACGGAAACACTGATAATAATAAAATTTACGGTACTATTAAATTATTGAACCACACACACAGTCGCTTTCAACAGTTCAAGCCATCAATTTTCTCTTAACGTATGGCATTTATAAGAACTGACAAAATGTTACATTTTAATAAAAAAAGATAGTAAAAAAGCTTATCCTAAAGTTTACTTTAGTCAATAAAGCCGAAACCTTTTGCTCTCAGTTTAGACGTTTTAGTAAAATTCGACTTTTATTACTTTTTAACAACTAACTTTTGTGACATTATTTATCTTTAACTAATATAACAAGGTATTTAAGTAAAATATATTAAAGTCGTATTTATGTATTTCTTCAGATAAATTCTTGTTTTGAGATTCTTCGGTAAAGACATTCATCAATCGAGGGACCTAGATACCGCCCCATAAATCTGTAATGTTATAAGTCTACATATTTGGGAATTTCACACACTCTAAAATTCCGCGCGAATGCCGCTTCGGTATTTGACGCGTCACTCTCGAGATTTAATCACACCAAACCGTAGAAGAGTTAATGATGATTTGAAAAAGATTTGATTTGATTTCTGTCAATATAATCGCCTTTTTTATCTCAAGTGAAATAATAAGACTTACTCAACTTAGTTTATAAAAAATAATATTTTTTCGTGATTATATTTATTTTTATTGACTTTAAAACGTTAGCTTAATTTTTTCTCATTTACTACGTGTAATTTGCCTGAAATGTGATTAAAGCCTAACTATTTTAGGTAGGTATGAAAATATTTTAACTTTAATTACAACTCTTAGACGTTATATTATAATTTATTTAGATACATTGCATTTAGTTATTTTGTTTATATTTCTATATCTATAAATGTTTAGGTACATACAACTTTCTCTTGTTGTGCATATACATATTTTTTTTTTTTTTTTTAAAAAGACAACTCCCGCATTAGGAAAATATCCTGTGTCGCGGGGGACTTTACAAACATACATGAAACGGACACAAAGAACACCCAGACTCAGAACAACAATTTGTGGATCACACAAAGTGTCGTCCCATGTGGGGTTTGAACCCACAACACTCGGCGCAGTAGGAAGCGGCGTGGCGACCGCTTAAACCACTACGCCATCCGTGCAGTCAATATATATATTCTCTCTTCACCCATACTCTACTGTGGGATAAGCTCGCTTTTGTGCGGACTATTCTTTCATGTATTTTTGTTAATGTTTATTTTGTGTAAAGAAGGAAAATAAATAAACTTAAAAAAAACAGATTGTAACAGTACAAGGTTGACGTAGTAGTTCAAGCTGTAACTTCGCCGCTTTCTACTGCGCCGAGTGTTGTGGATTTTATCCCCACATGTGACAACACTATGTGTGATCCATAAATTGTTATTCTGAGTCTGTATGTACTTCGTATATGCTTTATGAATGTTTGTAAAGTCCCCCGCGACACATGATATGTTCCTAATTCGGAAGTTGTCAATAATAAAATAACAGAAAATAAAGTAAAATGCGGGCAAAAAGCAAATGTCTCCTAGTATAGATTGTTGACATAAACCAAAGTATAGATATTTATATCATATATATTATAGGTACAACAGTCCGCATTAATTTTTTTTTATTGAAATGTCAATCGTCATAAAATTTATTCTTTTTTAAAACCACTTTCTAAAGAACTAAAACTAGAAGATATTTTTTCCAAACTATTTTTCGGATAGGTACCCACAGATAACGCTTCTCAAATTTGATCTAGTCATCTTCTGTAACATTCTGTAGACAATTAATGTAACCTTATTCAAGAACGTAATTATTATCTATCATATAAAATGACGAAAGACAACAATAATTTCGAATGATATTGTTTTGACATCTAATGTTATGCCTTTACAAATGTATTTTTTATCGAGTTATATTTGTAAACATTTTAAAAATGAATAAACAGAAAGCTATATTATTTTTATTTAGCATTGCTAAAGAGATTGAAAAATCTTTCCGATGTCCAATTATATTTTTAACCGAAAAAGATTATGCTGACTATATCGTCAAATCATTGATGGGTATGCATTGTGTTTTACAAGATAAAATTAAATACAACGAATTATTTGAAACTATAAAACAATTTCATTATGAATGGCTGCAAGCTGTCCAAGATATAGAATTATTCAAAAAAATGTTAAAAGAATTGCCTCGTGATGTGCCCCTTAGAGCAATTGACTTCACTATAGATTGTCTTGAAAATAGATACACCTATCTATGCAATTACATGAGAGAAATGGAAACTAGCATGCCAAGTGAAGAGAAAAAAATTATGGGTACAAATCTGACGATCATAGCAGAGATAAAACAGATAAACGTCAGTAAATTACTTGAGAAAAAGAGAAGGATCCTTACACAAGTAGATCAAGCAGAATATCTTAATACAATACAAAATGAATCAGAAGAGCTATTAAATTGGTTAGATAGGATAAATGATAATTTAGCATTACATTTCTGTAGAGTTCTTGATTTGAAAGTCTCTATTCAACCAAGTGATCTTACAAAACCGTTAAAACAAATTATTGAAGAAATTTCAGATGATCCGGATCCTGAAGCGCAGAGAATAGCTGATCTGATTCACTCTACATGTAAGAAAATCAGTACTACGATTCGACTCAACTCAATTCAAGAAATAGAAATAGCAAAAATAGTTCAAAAAATTAAAGAGCTAGAAAACCGTATAAATAGGTTAGAGCTCGAAAATTCATCTGCGCTGATGGCTTTAAAAAATAAAACTATTTACTTAGAAGACAGACTAAAGTCCTTAGAAAATGTAAAATTATCTAAAGTACCTGTTAAAAGCGAAAATATCCAGTTTTTAAATGGTGAAACGGATTGTATATTTAACCATATTCTACCTCATGCGGAACGATGTCGACTTGTGGAACGATTGATGAAGCTTTGGAATTCCTCAACTGAACATGAAAACGAATCAATTATATCTATTTTAAGCGTTGCTGATTTAAAAGAGGTATTTTCTGATGTCCATGGACGTTTTTGTGTAGATAAATATGGAAGAAAATTATATGATAAATGCAACAATACACAACTATCACAACTATATCAATTAAATGAAGTAAATAAATTAGTTCCTGTACAAGATGACGAAAAACATGTTTATTTCTATGATGAATGCGGTCGGTATTATCTCAATGGAAATAATCAGCGGATATACAAAGCATACGCAACCGCTAGTGAATATATACTAAATAAAACCGGAGTTTTATTGAAATTACAAGAAGTAAAAGGTGGTATCGAATATTTCTATGACAACCTAGGACGATACCATTTTAATTTGAATGGAAAACGAATATACACTAATGAAAATAGTGAAAATGAATATGAAGATGATGGATTAGGTAATCTTTTAAGAATTAAATCTAGGAATTACACTTATGAACCTTATACAAAAAAACCTTTAACTTTAGAGGAAAACAAGTATTTAAAACGAGTAGTTGGTCCAGCTTTAAAAGAGTGTGTAGCTAAAGTTGTATTACACCGACCAAATGATCCTATTGCCTACTTATCTATGAGTTTAATAAAATATTGGAAAAATACAAAAGATCGGAACAAACATTTAGATGATAAACGAGAAATGTTTGAGGAACGCGATCTTTACTGCATAACAAAAGAAAATTCATCTATCCAGCTTAAAAATTATGACATGGACTATACACTTCAAGACGAGGCTTCTTATAGCATTGAATACGAAACTGAAGAAGCAGTGGAGGAGAATTAATAAAATGTTTTAAATAATTGACTTCCATCTATTACACTTCCTCTTTTATAGATTTTTGTCTCTATTGTATTTTTAATAATTTTATTGTATTTGTATGTGTTATTTCTAACGTTTTCTACTGAAATAAAATGTTTCAATTTTTATTGTTAGTTAATTTGGAGGATAACTGAATTCGTATAAGATTCTTTTAAATAATTGACTTATATTTATTATACTAAATATTTTATAGATTTTTGTACTTTATTGTATTTTTATTTGTTTTATTGTATTTGTTAATTGTTAGTTTTAATTTTATATTTTATATTGTTAGTGTTAATTGTTAGTTTTAATATATTACGTGTTCAACTGAAATAAAGTTAATTGTTAATTGATCTTACCAGCATTTGAAATGTGTTAGATCGTTCGAGCTTTATTCTACTGTTTTGTTTGCACAGACCTATTTCTCATCACTATCATCATCATCAGCCTATCGCAGTCCACTACTGGACATGTGCCTCTCCCATTGCACGCCACTTAGATCGATTTTCGGCTTCTCGCATCCAGCTCCTGACAGCCATCTTGCGCAGGTCGGAACTCCACCTGGCCTGTGGGCGTCCTACACTACGTTCCCTAGACGCGGTCACCACTCAAGAACTCGTTTACCCCAAAATGGTTGTCGGTTCTGCGGCTAATATGGCCAGCCCACTGCCACTTCGGTGGCTTAATCCGGTGGGCTATGTCCATGACCTTGATTCTCTGATATTTTAGGCTTCTGGCAGCGATTTCTTGTTTAACGGTACTGAGCCTCAGATCGTGCAGTATGTATTTGTTGTGTATGCATTTCGGAATGTTGAACATAGATCTAATTGGTTTAGTTTGAAACCATTAAAGATTTCTTTGCCATTTTGCTTTCGTTAGAGAACTGAGACTTCTTACCAAGCACCCAATACATCAACCGAAGTTTAATATCCAAAGCTTTTATTTTTCTTTAGATATGCTTCAGCCACGTCAGCCTCCTATCCAAGTGCATGCCTAGGTATTTCGAGGTGACATCATGTGGAATTTGTTCTCCCTTCAGTGTGATTGGTGGGCAGGCGTCTTTCCTTAGAGTGACGTGGACTATAAAATAATTTGCTTTGATTACATTTTATTTTCCAGGTTTCCAGCCATTCTTCGATCTCACATATCAGTGAGATCGAATCGATTTTTGGATATTTGCTGATGCAATCGCTGGGTTGTCGTTAACAGACATAATTGCTTTAATAAAAATAAATAACCCTGTTCTGCTAGAATACTATAAAAAATACGAAAAACTATTAAAAAAGGCTGTAATAACATCAAAAAAACTACATTTTATTAATAAAATGATAAAATCGAGCAACAAAGTAAAAACCATGTGGAGTATAATCAAAGAGCGTACAAATAAAAAAGTCAAAACCGAAAAACACAACATAAGACTGGAACATGACAATTTGGAAATCTCTGAGCCAAAACAAGTTGCGAATACTTTTAACGCGTCAGTCGGTATGAGTAACTATCAGTCAGGATGTAACAACCCTAGTAGCCCACGAGTTTTACAACCTACAGGGAACAGCATATTCTTATTCGAATCTCAAAAAAAAAAAGTTGCGGTATAGATAAACTTCCACCTTTTCTAGTCAAATAATGTGCAAAAGAATTGATGTTACCCTTTTATTTACTAATTAACCAATCATTTGAAGAAAGCATCTTCCCGAACCAACTAAAAAAAGCTGTAATAAGACCTATCCATAAGAAACACTCAAAAATACATCAATTTTTACCAACCTACAGCATCAATTTTACTATTACTATTTTTATATATTATTTTACTAACCTACAGCATCAATTTTTTTCGAAAAAGCTATGTGTATTTAATGAGTCTCAAAATGGGTTTTGGAAGAATTAGCAGTCTATACATATACATAGGGGTATTATTAGACATTACCAAAGCATACGACAGAATCCAGTACAATATATTATTAAGAAAGCTAAATGAAATAGGTATCTGAGGTAGAGCACACAAATGGTTCGTATCCTATCTTCGATAGAGAGCATCAAGGTGAAATTGAATACCATAATAGCTACAATAAGGAAATTCAACATATCCGTTCTGATAGACAAACTATCAACACTTCAATCAAACAGGAAAGTGTCCTAGGATGCCTGTTATTTCTAATATACATAGACGATCTCCCAAATACCGTACAAGGACCCTGCGTGTTGTTCGCCGACGACATCTCTCTTTTGAGCCAAAATGCCACCGCCATAAAATACAAACTGACAACCGTACTTAATGATATAGTGCCACCAACTTATCTGTTCAGTAGACGGCGTCGCTACTGGAGCGATAGGTGTTGCTATTTAAAAAATTTATCAGGAGGTTAGGGTATTTGAAACATACGAAATCACGTGAGCTGTAATTTTAAATATTGATCGGAGTTTATTAATTAATGTTTAAATATCATTACTATATAATTTATAAATTAGTTGAAAAGAAAGAAATATTTTGTTTTGCAAACAGATAATACGATTTATTATACCAAACTAGTTACATTATATTTTATAAAAATAATTGTGGTCGTGATATCAGTTTCCCCTGGAAATTGATATCTTCTCTTAAAATATTCAATAGCTTGGTTACAGAAGGAATTTCTTTTTTTACTGAATAAAATTCATGGGTTTTTCTCCTAATCACACCAATATCAAAGTCATCAACTTCTAGTTTCCCTGTTTTCCTTTCCCTGTTTTTACCAGGTGTACATATTTTAGTATTAGTTTCTTCAGCTCGTTTTTCTTCATTCATTAATTTATAAACAAATCGCTCACTAACACCTGTAACAAAAAGTGGCTCATCAAACTTAAGAAATAATGTTATTTTTTTTATTTATTCGGGTGGAATAAACAGTGAACACAATGTAGGTATACGTTTACCGTTTATGAAAATAAAGAATAGTAAAATGGTGCACTAGTTAGTAGTAGTGGGGGCGACGTATCACTTTTATTTCTAATTTTCAGTGGATATATATAGACAATAAAATATGAAACATAAGCTGAATATTAAAATAATAAATAATAAAATAATTTAAGTGGGAAATTTTACTGTCCTTAGACTATAACACTAACCTGTAGCGGCAGCAACACGTTGTGGCACTTTTTCAAATGGTATTTTTGGAAATTGGAGGCGTTTTTCTTCGTTCATAAAAGATAAAACTTTTAAAATAATAACTCTAGCATCACTTTTAAGAGCTTTTGGCATTTTAATTGTAGTTTTAATAATAAAATCAAATGATAAACACAGAGAGCACCCACACCTTGTAAACTGACACGCAGATTGACGCAGATTTAGTTCCGATTTTGTCTACTGAACAGATAAGTTGGTGGCACTGTACAGTAAACTGGATGACCCAACACAATTTAGAAATAAATTATTAAAAAACCAAATTAATTACATTCCATCCACCACAGAAATCACTATCACACACATACCACAGGAATTACTAAATTTAATTATTACATCATCATCATCACATCACATCAACAGCCTATACTAGTCCACTGCTGGACATAGGCCTCTCCTTAGAAAGGAGGTTTTGGCCTACTATACCACGCTGGCCAGACGGGTTGGTATAGGGTTTGTTTCAAGTTTTCCTTCTCTTTGCAATGCTGTTAATTATTACGTGAGTAATAAAAGAAATAATAATAAAAAAAGAAGATGTAGAAGTGGGACCGTGGCACTAAAGACCACCTTTTTATAGACAGGACCATTAGCCAACAGGTACGTCGTAATCGTAAGAGTTTGGCGACATGTTGGATAGACTATAAGAAGGCTTATGACTCGGTTCCACATACATGGCTTTTGAGGGTGCTGGAGTTGTATAAAATTAATACAACTCTATGCACTTTCTTAAAGTCGTGTATGGGGCAATGGAGAACAGCACTTCGTTATCCAGGATGTCGGCAGACGGCGGTAAGCGATGAACCAATAAAGATCGAACGGGGTATATTTTAAGGTTGGTTGGTTTTGTCTGGCTTTGAACCCTCTTAGCACTTTATTAGAGGGTTCAGTTCAGTTCAGGGTTAGACTATCAGGGTTAGAAAGATGATCAAGTTATTTCTCACCTTCTTTATATGGATGATTTGAAACTACTGGCCCCCACCAAATTACACTTGTCAGCGTTACTAAAGGTGACTGAAAACTTTAGTAATTCTATCAAAATGGAATGGACAAGTGTTCAGTCATGTATGTAAAGAAGGGTGTGATAGTGTCTGTAGTAATCTGAAGGAATAGAGCTCTCAGATTCAACAACACTCAGATCTCTGTCTGCCACTGAAACTTACAAGTATTTGGGTCTATCACAGTCGTTAGGCATACAAGAATCTGACATGAAAAAAAACGCTGTAGGAACGCTTTTTTGGTCGCTTGAAAGAAGTACTTAAATGTCTTTTATCAGGGGGCAACAAAGTGCGAGCCTGCAATGGTTGGGTCATGCCGATTCTGATGTATTCCTTTGATATACTTAGATGGACTCAGACCGAAATCGAATGCACAACCCACGTTCATCGGTCATGAGATTATACACTCTGTCAAGAAAGTACCGGAAAAAGATCAATAATACACAAAATGTTTGTTATTCATTCTATCACCAATCTAAAACCAATTTATTTTATCACCTTCAAAGTATGCTCCTTCAGAAACGATACACTTACGCCAACGAATAATCCAATTATCAAAACATTTTTAAACGCTGTTTCCGGAATTGAGTTCAGTTCTCGCCGCGAATTCTCCTTTATGTCTTCTACCGATTGAAAACGGGTGCCACGAAGTGGTAATTTGAGTTTAGGAAAAAGAAAAAAGTCGGCTGGAGCCATATCTGGTGAATATGGTGGTTGCTCGATGGTATTTGTTGAGTGTTTGTTCAAAAATTCGTGCACGATGGTGGCCTTGTGCGAAGGCGCATTATCGTGGTGCAAAATCCAAGAAGTTTTTGGTCGAATTTGCTCTCTTAAATGCCGCATAACGCTCAAATAATATTCTTTATATACCGTTTGACCTTCCGGCAAGAATTCCGAGTGCACAACACCGCGATAGTCAAAGAAAACAGTCAACATGACTGACTTTTGATTGACTTTAGCGTGGTTTTTTCGGTTCCGGTTCAGTTGGAAGGCGCCACTCCGAAGCTTGTTGACTAGTTTGCATGTCAAACTCATAAACCCACGTCTCGTCACCAGTAACACTGCGTTTCATGAATGTTGGGTCGGAATTGACTCGTTCTAGCATGTCCTCAGCGACTCTCATGGGATTGAGTTTTTGGAGAAAATTCAGGTCTTTTGGGACTAGCGGTAACATGTTTCATACCCAAACTATTAGTTAAAATGGTACGGATCGACTCTTGAGATACAGAAAATTCAGCGGCTATCTCTCTCAAAGTTTAATAAGGATTTTCAGTCACTATTTCCTTCACTTTTGCGATGTTAACTTTAGTTGCAGACGTTGATGGCTTACCAAATCTTCTATCACATCTCGACCGCTTTTGAACGCTTTGTACCACTCATAAGCACGTGTTTTTGATAAATTCGATTCACCGTAAGCCTTCTGTAACATTTTCAGTAACTCCGAACACGAAATTCCTTTGGCGATGCAAAATTTAAGACAAACTCTTTGTTCTATGTTTTTGTCCATTATGAAATTCGCAATACACACTAGATATGATATAACTAAAAACAGCACTGTATTTAATATAAATAAGAGATGCAACTCAAACTCCGCGCCAAAATGGAAAACAGTTGTACCAATCTAACCACAACAAAAAAAACATAAATTTGAATTTGGAACCATAAATAAATCATCCATTCCCGATACTTTTTTGACTGACAAGACCCTACAATCTCAGAGAATATTTTCTACATACTGATGTGGGAGATCATCGCAATGTAGTTGCAGTGGATATCGGATTCACACCGCTCGCTCTGGCTAAAGAGAATTGGCGCAAACCTGTATTACTTAGCACTAATGATCGTAGGGAAGTATGGAAGGGCAAAGAGCTCCATGGCCGGTTTTATCGGGCCCTAAACGGGTCCGATATAGACTTTAAAGCATTTACGACTTGGCTACGTTATGGTGATCTCTTCGGAGAAACTGAAGGTTTTGTTTGTGCGATTATGGACGAAGTTATCATGACGTATAACTATCGGAAAGATATCCTAAAAGATGGTGCGGTTGACATCTGTCGGGCATGCCACTGTCCTGGGGAATCCATTAGGCATATTATTTCTGATTGTTCTCGTCTCGCTAACGGTGAATATTTGCACAGGCACAACCAAGTAGCCAGGATCGTCCACCAACAGCATGCCCTTAAATACCAACTTGTAAATCTAGAGGTGCCATACTCTAGGTATGTGCCCGACCCAGTTCTCGAGAATGGTCGGGCCACGTTGTATTGGGATCGATCTATTATCACAGATAGGACTATTGTTGCTAATATCCCTGATATTGTATTGATAGATCTATTAGAGCGCCGCGCAATTATTGTTGATATCGCCGTTCCTCATGACGAGAATCTCGTGAAAGTTGAAAAAGAAAAACAAATAAAATATTTGGATTTATCTCACGAGATTGTCGATATGTGGAATGTCGATTCAGTGGTCATTGTTCCGATAGTCGTTTCTGCTCACGGATTGATAGCCAAAAGCCTCGACCAACACCTTAAGAGGCTCACGTTGGACGGCTGGATCAAGGATCTGATGCAGAAGGCAGTCCTCTTTGACATGGCTCGTATAGTGTGGAGGTTCCTATCTTTGGAGTCCTAACCACCGGTGTCCTGGTCCTTGTACCCGATGTCGGTGGTCTACTATTTTTTATATTTTTAAATGCATTTTTATTTCTTTTGTAATATATTTAAAAATGTTATTAAAATGTATATATATAATTTAATAAAGAAAATAATAATATTCTACCACATTCACACAACGCTATCTAGTCCCAAACTAAGCAGACCTTGTACTATGAGTACTAGACAACTGATATAAATACATATATACTTTGTAAATACATACATATTATACATAGAAACACCCAGACCAAATCCAACATTAAATGTTCATGCACACAAATGTTTGACTTGAGCGGGAATTGAACCCGCGACCTTTGGATTAGCAGTCCGTTACACAAACCACTATGCCATCCAGTCGTCGAAATACCTACTTAGTTCTATTTACTAAACAACATTTCATTATGATCATAGAATGTTTGCTTTTCTCTCCTAATTTTGTATGTATACATTATGGATTGCAATTAATGGATTGAATTGTATCACCGGCGTACGTGGCAATAAAGGTTTTCGCATTCACTGGGATATCTGCAGTGAAAATGAGATACAGTACTGGACCTAATATGCTCCCTTGGGGTACTCCTGACCTTATTTCGAACAAATTAGACGTAGTATTGTTCAGTTTGACCTCATAGCATCTTTTATCTAAGTAACTTGTCAGTATTGCATAGGAGTGGGGCAGGTGGTTTTTGATCTTAACAGAAGGCTGTCGTGCCAGACCCTATCAAAGGCTTGACTTGTATCCAGAAACACAGCCGAGCAGTATTTCTTGTTCTCTAGCGTGTAGGCGATCGTATCTGTCAGCCGGTGGACCTGCTCAATGGTTCCATGCTTGTGTCTGAATCCAAATTGGTGCCCGGGGAGAATAGTATTGAGTTGTGATTCCATTCTATTGAGAATTACTTTTTCGAACAGTCTACCCACTAGTGGAAGCAGACTAATTGGTCCATATGATGAGACTTCTTCTGGCGTCTTGCCGGGTTTTAGGATCATGACGTAGATAGTGGGAGTCTCAGACATGAATTGAAGAGGATAACAAAAAACATTATACCTCTCCTTGGGAGATTGTTTAAGAGTACAGAGTCCAGAAGCTTTATTGTGTGGTAGAGATTTTATCTCGCGGCTTCAATATATTCGTTTGTCTTCAGACTAATATCTTATATATGAAATTCTCGTATCACAATGTTAGTTACCATACTCCTCCGAAACGGCTGGACCGATTTTTATGAAATTTTGTGTGCACATTGGGTAGGTCTGAGAATCGGCCAACATCTATTTTTCATACCCCTAAATGACATTATTTCCTAGAAATAATGTATATGGCAAAACAACGTTTGCCTGGTCAGCTAGTTTAAATCTATTTTACTATGTATTAATTCTCTATATAAGTCCTAGTTTGTATGTTTGTTGTAGATATTAGCCAGTGGTGTGGAGAGAATCACCTGCTTGTATACATTTAGAATGACTGGAGTATAGTCCGATGACAGATCTTCACATTTTCGATTTTTAAATGATTATGGCCAAAATTTTTTGTAACATAAAAGTTGAGCAGATCTGGCTTCCTGCAGCGGTACATTAGCCAATACGTCGGTTCACCATGCGACATGCATTCGAGATTAAGATTTAGTTTGGCTTTATAGAGTTGTCTACCCCTCGGGTTTATCAACCATGATGGTATGTTTGGAGTTCCAATCTCCATCGCAGATTAATATGGAACCGAGTTTGTCGAAAACCACTTGAATTCTTCAGCCTGAGTGAGTGTTGTCTCACTGCTTTTGTAATGTATTTTGATTGATGTTGCTTGAATTTTCTCTGTTTTACATGATGCAAAAGAATAATTTAATGTTTCCTTTATTATCACCGCAGCCCGGCCGTTTATCAATTCATACATTTATTTAATTTTCTCCGTCCGTGTGGTGACGGATCAAGAATACAGTGTCACCACCCCTATTCATCCCGTGGGTGTCGTAAGAGCCGACTAAGGGAAAAAACTAAGCAGGACACCAGCACTGCAGAGAGAAGGAAAACTTGACACAAACCCTATACCAACCAGTCTGGCTAGCGTGGTATAGTAGGCCAAAACCTCCTTTCTCAGGAGAGGCTTATGTCCAGCAGTGGACTATTAAAGGCTGTTGATGATTTAATTTTCTAGATATGGCAATGTTGTTGATATCACCATTGATGACCTATATTACTATATCGACAGTATATCTATATACAATCATCATCATCAGCCTATTGCTGTCCACTGCCGGCCGGCTAAAATCATTGGATTTTACAAACTTATCTGTCTCATCTCACTGCACACAAGGATACTATTTACTGTGGCGCGCAACCAAGAACCACCAATCTCTACCACACAATCAAGCATCTTCATCAGCCTATTGCCGTCCACCGCTGAACGAAGGCCTCCCATAGATACAAATGTTTTACTAAATTAAAATTCTTTACTTTGTTACTTATTTATAGTAAACGGAGTGATTATAAAAAAAATGAGACAAAGACTGAGCTGCGTGTCTTTATAACACGCATACATTTATTAACGTGCCTCCTCTTTATTTAAATGGCACAGCGCTGAAGACAGTGGACAAATTCGTTTATCTCGGACACCACATAACTCCTAATATAAATGATGACTTATATATTCGGTTCTTTTTAACTATTAGTACATTCTTAAAACATTACAAGCTTTTAAGATGTATAACTGCGAAAACATGTAAATGGTACACTGTATGTTTTCCGAACAAATTAAAATAAAATACTGAATAACCATAGCATTTGTACAAGGACCCGTGGGTTTATGTGATAAGTCTTCCAGATAGTAACTTATAAACAAAGCGTTTAGATTAGATTTTAGTTGGTTTGTTAGTTACTCTGCCACTGCGATACATTATACACCCGCACAATTAGCATATTTCTGTACCTTGGGGATTTTAGAAGGCAATAGAATGAAATTGAAATTAAAATAATTTAAATTTAATTCGTTTATTGCAAAAAAAATACTTCAACTGATGAATTTTCGTAATTGCGACTATACCGTCTGTATGTTTATGGATGTGAACTATAGTTTTAAAACCTAAAAAAATGTTTTTTTGTTCTTAAACAATTTTTATTGATCATTTCACTTATTTTTCTTAAACTTTTTATGAACTGACTGATCTTTCATAGGCTTCTTAACATTATTGGAATTCAGTTTGCCAATTTGCTTATTCTTTTTATTGAATTTATTCTTCAATTTTTTGGCAGCTACCACTTCAACTTTTTCTGTTATTTTATTTTCATTTTTGTTAATGTTCTGATTTTGAACATTACTGGTTTCTTGGTTCTTTTGATTTTTCCTTTTTTTCTTACTTTTGTTTACTGTGGTTTTTGTATTTGGATCTTTTTGTACACTGTCTATTTTTTCGATGCTGGATTTTGTGTCTACATTCTCATTTCTTATTTTTGTCTCTCTCTGTTCCTTAATATCTTTACTATTTTCTTGTACTTCAGATTTGTCACTAATTGCGTTGTTAGCGGCGTTAGTACCATGTTGCTTTACGTTCTTTTTATTTTTCCGGTTTCTCTTATTCTTCTGGTTGCTTGCAGGAGTAGGTTGAGCATTGTTACCCTTACTGGAATTAAATAATGATATACATTTAATTATTTAACTTGGGAATTTTAGCTGAAAGTATAGATGGGAATTACTTTTTACAAGAGCGATGTAACAACCATTTGCCATTCGACTACCGATAACTTTTTCACAATTGTTATACCTTTTTATTTTTAACACAACTATTATCAACTTTGCTATAGTTTAACTTTACTATGCCTCTACCAATTAAACCTAGACGACAAAAACACTTCCCCAGTGGCATATGGACCAAAATTCTTTTAGATGCCTAAAAATAAGTTTCTTCAAATTAATTTCGGCTTCTCGCATCCAACTCCTGCCGTCTGCGAGAAGCCGAAAATCGATCGAAGCCGCTTGCAATGGGAGAGGCCTATGTCCAGCAGTGGAGTGCGATAGGCAGATGATGTTGATGATGAGATTAATTTAACTTTTTATGGTCAAACAATATAAAATTAAAAAGTGCACTTATTTATAAGTTTAACAGTATTTTCCTATTTCACAATATAAGATATATTCTATAATATAATATAATTTTCTATTATACCTACATAATTGTAACGTTGCATTTTGCACCATTACAGAAAAGTTAATTATCGACGTGTTGTTATTTTAACAGATGAATTTTCTGACGTTTCAGTAAAGCTCCGAGAGATGGCGTCACAGTCGAGATTTTTAGTCTATTTTATTCGACTATTGTAGTGATTCCGTCCATGGAATTATTTACTCTAGGGAAGTATTCATTTTATTGCAGTTTTGCACTACTTGCACTGGCAACACTTTTTTGTCGCATTTGCATTTTCCTGGGAGAAGCTGAACAGGGTAGACATGTTTGTGATGTAATCCGTTTCCATTTGTTATAATCAGAGGGTTAAATCATCTTTTATTGTTGGCCAGTTTTGTTAAGAAAAGGAGTTTTTTCAATGGAAATATTATTTTGCCTTTTTGGTAAGTTTTAATTCGACGGGGTCGGCACGTTTTTCGTACTTGGCTTAAGGAGACTAGTGTTCTAAATCTTTGATTATTTGGTTACAGGTATTGTAGTAATGCCTCCGATTTATTTGTGAGACGTTTTCGAACCCTGGTGAGTAAATTATTGTATCTTACAAAGCTTAGACTTCATCTTTGAAGCTAGGGAAATAACCTGTAATTTTTGTTTGTTACAGTACCGTAACAGGGTTTTTTTTTGGCTTTTTTAGCTTTTTTTGGCTTTTTTAGATTGCAATTTCCTTACGTTACGACTAGTTTTTACCTCACAACCTGCCTGATCCAGGGATTTAGTTTGCTTCGGAGAGAGGATTTCCTTTCCTAAGTACCTCTAATGGCAGGAAAAGTCCTCTGACTGTAGCCCATTATTAGGATTCACTTGGGATGGGAACCAGGAATGTTGGATTACTTACCCCGCCACGACGACAACCACGTGGAGAACAGGAGTGAGCGTTATAGGAATTAGTATGGTTCCAAACGGACTGTGTCGGCGTTATCGGTATGTCTTTTGTTGTATATGAATTTTTACTGGCGTTGTCATAACGGATACTGTGGGCTCTAAGGGGCGTTATTATTATTGTTATTATTATGGGTATTATTATCGTTATGATAACTACCTTTAATTTCTTTATGTATTAACCAGTCTTTATGTGACTTTTAAAGATATTTTACATTTAATTTCTTTATGTATTAAACAGTCTTTACGTGACTTTTCAAGACTCCTTATGGGATAATCGCACTCATTGGGATTTACAACACCTTATTTTACCTTTAGCTTGTATTATCAAGGTAAACAGATTGCATGAATGACAGAACTAATTTTAGAATAAGAATTGCATTTGTAATTAAATCTATAATATTCCATGTACTCTACAGACACTACGGGATAAATAAACTGCCTCTTAATTTTATAACATCTTTTCATTTTATAGCTTCCCCTCACCCTAGATTAAAAGTCTAAGCGCTGACCGAGCTATACCAGGTATTTGTTGTATTTGTCTATGTTCATTTAGGCCGGCACCTGGCGCCCGAGATTATTGGTTTTGTTAGAATTTGTGGTGCTGGACCAGTTAGTTCATTCATTTGTATTCAACATAGACATTCATTAGTTAAAAACATATTTTTTTAATTTTTTAATATTACATAATATGCTTAAAACCAACATCATTAAAATATATTTAATGTGAAAGCTATGTAAGTACTTAATTTTATATAATGACGGCAATTTCTTACAAAACCACCCAAAAGAACAGAAACAATAAATCGCAAACACAATACGACACAATGTCGTGCGCAGCTACGACAAAGAAACCAATCTATTGGTTATTTATCTAACGCGAATGATATCCCTCTGCCGCTAGGTAGTGGAAGCCATAAATGGCAAAAGGAAAGTGTTTCAGTTTTGTTATTATCATATTTTAATAGAGCCTTTCAATGCTCTTCATCCTGATTCTTTAAACTTCAGCCTAGCTTCAGGTGTTATAACCATAATAAAATAATGAAAAAATAAACAGCCCTATCGTCTATTTTATTACTTCGATCTTAAAAATCTTAAATCAGACAGTCTTAAAGTGTGACAGAGGTTTACATGATGCTTCACGCTTTGGGGGCTTGCCATATAAATATGGCGAAATCATGTCTTTAATTGATCTTGACTGATATGTTTTAATTGATCGAGATCAAAGCGGTAGCAATGCTATGCCTAAACACCATTGTTCCTGTTTAAAAGGAAGAAGGACAGTATAAAATCGTGCCCATATAGTTCTTGTTTTGTGGTACCTTTTTTTTATTGTGTGGATACATTGGTGTCGGATTTGGTGTTGGATTAAGAATACAGAATATCACCACCCCATTTCATCCCGTAGGGGGTCGTGAGAGTCGTCTAAGGTAGAAAACTATGCCGGATACCCGAACAACAAAGAGAAGGAAAACTTGACACAAATCCTATACCAACCCATCTGGCCAGCATGGTACAATAGGCCAAAACCTCCTTTCTTAGGAGAGGCTTATGTCCAGCATTGAACTATAAAAGGCTGTTTATGATTATGATAATGCTATCTAGGGATAAAATTATCCTTGAATATTGTTATTAAAATTATAAGTTTTAAACTTTTTTACAATTCCAATAGATACTTTTTACCTAAAACATTCAATAGAATATAATTCATTGAGGGATGAACACTTTTACACCCTTCTGCTTAAATATTAGGGGATTTATTATAAATCACTAGAAATAGAAATGTTTTAGAAAAAGTAATAACTATGATATTGCTTGTTTTACTGAACATTGGTCGCAGAGAGAACATATATTAATTAATTATAAGAACTATAGAATGGCCAGTTGTTTAAAATGGAAATCTATGTTGCATGAAAGATCTTTAATTCTTATTACGAATGGCATAAAATCTAAAACACGAAAGGATATTGTTAGAGTTTCGTTTGATATCGTATAAAAAATATATTAAAAACATTTAAATTACTTTGATTCAACATCAGACTTCTTTTTCTTCATCTGAGGACCAGCTGAAGTGGCAGATCTTTTACGAGAATCGCCCTTCTTTTGAGGTACGGGTTTTTGATCGCCAGATTCAATGTCACCATTTTGTTTTGAGTCTTCGGATTTAGATTCAAGCTCTTCATCATCTTCATCTTTGAAGGGCTCAGGCTGAAATGTCAAAATAGTATAAAACATCAAGAATAATATGCAGCTTTAGTTGTAATCGTAAGGAACTTATGAAAGAAGATGAGCTTGAATGAAATTGGTTTCCAGGAGGATACCGAGGAGACAACAGACAATAAAATATTTCGGTGAGAATTTTTGGATTTTCTCTACTATAATATGCATGTATGCTGTTTTGATGAAAATCGCACTAAAATTCGTTGCGTTCTTCGAAAGATCTTAACATACAAGTACTACTTTATTTTATACTATGTGAAGATCTGCAAACCATAGGCAAACCGCATAGGCAAACCTAACGCTTAAAGCATTCCCTGCCAGTCTACCTTAGCGTGATATAGAAATGAGTGAGAGCATTACAGAGTAAATTATGAAAAATTAGAAATAAATGGTAATACTTACAATAACATTTGAGAACTTCTTCAGCTTTGCCACATAAAAACCATCCATGTTATGTGTATGAGGATAAAACCTCCTAGTCAATTTAAGAGACGGGTGAAATCTATGATGCCTGTATTTGACGAAACCTTCAGTTCCAAAGTCTAAACCAGTAGGTACTAATTTTACATTCCTGCGCTTGAGTGCATAATTCACAACCCATTCATTTTCTTCAGGTAAGATTGAACAAGTGGAATAAACAATATACCCTCCAGTACTGGACTTTGCACTGCAACAGTCAATCGCAGCAAGGAGAAGTTGTCGCTGAATATTAAAACACCTTTGTATATCTTTCTGGTCCTTTGTTGTCTTGACACTTGGATCTTTAGCAATAACACCAGTACCTGTGCAAGGAGCATCCAGTAACACTCTATCAAAACCCTTCATCACTTCTGGAAATTCTCTACCGTCATGGTTACATATCACAGCATTCACTACACCTAATCTATGAAAGTTACCAACTATTGCTTTAGTCCTTTCTTTATTAGCATCATTAGCGAATAAAGTGCCTGTATTTTTCATGATAGCTGCAATATGTGATGCCTTTCCACCTGGAGCTGCACACATGTCTAATATTCTCTCATTCTCTTGTGGAGCTAAAGCCATTACTGGCAAATAACTTGATGCACCTTGTAGGATGTAATGTCCTGCCAAATATTCTGGTGTTGCTCCAATGGGGACTGTGGAACTGTACACAACAAGACCTACTTTACTCCACTTCCCGACAGGGTCTAAATTTACACCTCTGTTGATGAGTGCCTGAGCTAAATCCCTCCTCCTAGTTTTCAGACTGTTGGTTCTGATGGTAACAGGACGTGCAACTTCACTAGCTTCCAAAAATTCAACCAGTTCCAGCACTGGGAATATCTGCATTAACACTTCCATTAGAAATTCATTATAACTGTAATATATGCAAAGATCTTTTAGTAGTAGATCAGTATATTCACAACGTGAACGACCTTCTTCTTTAAGTGTACTAAAATTGCCTAAAACCGTTACAACATCCTTGATCCTTTGATGAATGTCTTGGAGACTTGTAGGATTTTGTAATTCTTCTTCAGACGGAAAAGCAAACACATCTTGTTTTGCAATATTCAACTGCATTTCTTCATCTGCTAGCTTCTTATCAATTTTCTGTTTCTTTACGAGTTTAATGTTTGCTTTTTCTATTGGCAACATGTCATCTTCATTATCAATATCATCATCCTCATCTTTATCAGAACCACTAGAATCAGAATCATACTCTAATTTGTTATCACTAGCAGCACCTTCATCTTCTGATTCAGCATCATCATTTTCATCATCGGTGTCCTTAAATAAATCATCTAAAGTTCCAACCTGAAAACAACCACCAATATATTTACATATTACACCTTTCACTATCTTCATTGGCAGAATCATTATAGTTATTACTAGCTACTGCCCGCAGCTTTCTTATTTTAATGATGTTCGAGTGATAATTTCTTTTTTCGTGTTTCTAACTGACAAACTTCCATACAACCATTCATGTCTTAATTTACTCCTAAGGGTAAAATTTCCGAAACTCCTTAGTAGGTGCTTACAACTTAACAAAATTGCAAGTTTGTAGCCCCAGCAGTTTAGGATCTGCATTGATGAATCAGTCAGTCCTTTAGAGCAAGTAATTTTATATCTAAAGATACACCTCATACATCAATAGTCAGCTAATATAAAATATGTGGATAACAGTCACAAGGTACACTATGAATGATAAAAAAATTAGCTAATAATTTATTTGCACACAATATTCTTAACTAGTTCATATCTAACCTTATATTTTTCTCCAGTAGCTTTTGTTCCCTGTTTATCATTGTCATCAGAGTCTGCATTTACATCTGATCCATCATCATGGCCACTATCATCTTCAGTTTCCTCTACATCTGAGTGAATTTTCTTCTCTTTTGATTTACCTTTTTGTTTTGGCTTCAACCATTCTTTATTGTCATCAGTAAAACCTGCCAAATAAGTATCCATATATTAAAATCTTTTAAATTACAAGCACTGCAGGACATTATTAAAAAATACCCGCTCGTCATACTCATAAGTATATTTGTAGGCTATACATTAGTTTAAAGTTTTTACGCACATTTCATTTTATTTTATTTCAGTTATTGTGTAAGTAATTGAAAATGAGTATACCTTGTGTACTTTCTTCATCAGAGCTATGGCCCTCATCATTATCAACTTCAACCTCAGTTTGTTTTGCAACATTCTTTTTAGCTTGCTTTAGGGCTTTCCTCTTCTCAGCTAACTCTGCTTTTTTCTTTGCTCGCTTTGCAGCTCGTTGTTTTTGTCTATGAGTTAATTTCTTTTCTGTAGTGTCATCTTCCACTGTAAAAGCAAGGTTTTTATACTTGTTGTTTTAGGCAGTTATTGCATCATAAAATAGGTACTAGTTATTAACCCCAGTCTCTTTTTGTTTTACATATACCATGAGATAACAAAATAATTACAAGCATGAACTTTTTTAATTAAGTATGATCTAAGTCTACAGTTTTCAGCTACAATCTACCTTCAGAATAACAGTATCATTGAAGTTGTCGATCCTTGTTATAATAAGAAAAATTATTTAACTGTGGAGAGAAATGTTTTTTATACTCTTTGGACCGCATCCAACGAGGAGCGACTCGAATCGTCGATAGCTAAAACATCTCCGATCGACTCGATCAATTGGCGTTACGTAGAGATGTGGCTTCGCAACTTTTCGTCATCATTCCACATCCCAAAATTTTCATCCTCATCACCTGGATAGTTTTCGCTAAACTACTGTGCGCTTTTCGAGACACTTTTTGCCCAGCACAACCAATCTGTGGAACGGGTTATCGTCTGCGGTATTTCCGGGCCAATACGACCTTCAAACCTTCAGGAAAAGAGCGTACTCCTTCCTAAAAGGTTGGTAGCGCGTTTGTGACTCCTGAGTTGCAGACGTTCATTGGCTGCGATGGTCACTTTCCATCGTGTGACCCGTCTGCTCGTCTGCCCCCTCTAACATAAAAAAAGCTTATCTCAGGATGAAAACGATTCAATTTAACAGTATGTGTATGAGCTTGAAACAATGGTAATTACTTGTGAATTTGAAGATTAATGTAATTCTCTGATCAAAGATCGTTTGGTTTGTGGAATTTTGTGGAATAATGATATCATAGAAAGACTAGTCTACTAGACTAGTCAAATTTGACATTAGAAAAGGCGATAAATATATTTTTAGCGGTAGTCGTTCTAAGATGTATTCATAAAAGATAAAGACTGAAAACAGAAACGCTGTAAGCAAAATAAACAATTAAGATTCCAATCAAGAGGACGTAGACGTAAGTAAAATCGAATTAAGAGGATATCGGAACAGTCCCCGATTTCAATATACGTCAACAGCAGTGTGCGGCAGCGTCCGTGGCGGTTCCTTACGTCGCGCGGGACATAAGTATAACCGACAAAGCTCCGTGCATCGTGAAAACGATGTCGCGCGACTTTGGTCGCGGCGGCTTCCAGCTACGGTAATCAGTGCAGCGTGCGACTAGCGATGCGCTGTCTGTGTGGTGACGGATTAAGAATACAAATTGTCATCACCCCAATTCATCCCGTGGGTGTCGTAAGAGCCGACTAAGGGAGCAAACTAGGCAGGAGAACAGCACTGCAAAGAGAAGGAAAACTTGAAACAAACCTATACCAACCCGTCTGGCCAGCGTGGTATAGTAGGCCAAAACCTCCTTTCTAAGGAGAGGCCTATGTCCAGCAGTGGACTAGTATAGGCTGTTGATGTGTGCGACTAGCGATTAGCAACTACTAGCGATTGATCGATAGCAATTGACAATTTAGTTACCTAACCGGGATTAGTACTGAACATATGTTGTTTGGCTAAAAAATAAAATACTACCGTCAAAATCAAGAAAAAGGGGAATTTCAAAGATTTATAAAGTGATGTGGTAAAAATCATTTGTTGTGCGCTTACATTGCAAGCGCTGGCTAATCCTTACGAGATAAATCATAATAATGTACCACGGAATTGTTTATCTTTAAAACATCTACAAAAAAAATTAACTGTATATTAAGATATACTGTATATTAAGATATACTGTAGTATAGTCTAATCATAATTATAATAACATTAATTATTGCCGGCCTGTAGCAAATTTGAATGGATTGTTTTAGGTTTCCATACTTTTCTTGATTTAATTAGTCAAATTTATAAATAACTGCCTTTAGCCCACGGCTCCGTCCGCATGTATGTCGGTTTTCAAGGTAAAAAGTAGTCTATAGCACTCAGGGATAATATACCTGTTTTAACATTATATTAATGCTGAATTCAAAATTTAATTTTGAAATTATAACTATTTTAATAGAAATAATGGTATAAATGTGTGTGTACATTGTGATAATTTTAAAGTATGATTTTATTATTTTTAATTTTGATTATAATAATATTTAATAAAAGTAATTTTATTTTTCTGATTGTTTTTAAGGGAGATGTCGGTACAGGTGAAATTACAAAACAAAGACAGTACTATTCAATCCTTGTTGTTTGAGTAATATGTGCCCGACACATGACAGACGTAACCAGTGTAAGAAAATTTTAGTTTTGAGGTTAAAGCACCATACACCTTCTTTTTAATGAAAAGCTTTTTAATACACTACTTTCTTCCTTGTTTTAATATACTAAATCAGCAGTTCATCATTCTAGATATAAACTAAACCACTAAATAATATGTTGAACTTTAAGCAGTATAGAAGATAGTTGTTAAATGATTTTCTAAATGCAGTTTGAACACGTGAGGTATATGGTTGAAACGACTATTTTGTTTGTTAATAAAATCAGCATGACTTTTCAATAGAAACATTTATAATTTATCTCTGTCAACTCATAATAATAGCGTGTTTGACGTGGAGCTGGCACATTTCACACACTTTAGGTAATAGCAATAACTTGGTGGCTAAACCGTTACATATACTTTAGCTTGGCTTATTTGAAAACAGAATATTTACTCACCAAGAGACTTTTTGAAGACCGGGTCGGGTTGTTTGCGTGCTTTCCTACCGGGGCCTTTCTTAACCTTCTTAGTCTCATCGAACTTGGCTTTACGACCCATATTTTACTAAATATGCGTACTTAATGTTTCTAGTTTCTCTTATTGTTGTTGGTTTTCATTAAATGGACAACTTTATAGGTCCTCGATATTTTCACACAAATATAACCAATAACCACACAAATATAACCAATAATTACACCCCTTGTCTCACACACGTGTAGTTTATTTAAATAAATAGATTGACAGTTGACATTAACTTGACATAACAGACTGGAAACATTTCCGTAGAGACAAAAGCATAGCGAAAACACGGGGTACAGCTGCCTGTAAGTGGAAGCGACATAGGCAACAAGAGAGATGGATGTCCGATATTTTGCTCTGTCTCTGTTTAGCTGTATGTTTAGCCAAGCTGCGATTGGCTACTTATTTGTTAACTATCTATTATCCATCTGCATATTTTGCAAAATTGGGGCTCTTGTTCTCTCTAGGTTATATCTCTACGATCGCTTAAGAGCTCTGATTTTCAATTAGAAGACTAAAATGCCGTTTACGGCTTAATATAAAACTGTTCGAACTCGGTTATTGAAAACCGTTTAATGATTGACACGGCTACCTACCATTTAAATATTAACTACTACTAATTTACCACTTTTTGAACAATTAATTGCTATAATTTTTTCATTACTTTTTTTGGAACGAAGTTCCTTATCGCGCGTTGTGAAAGGGGGCTAGACGGAAAAAAATCATACGAAAATTTGGAACGACACTTTTAATATAAATTGACGTCTAACTGTGGATACCATACATTAAATTTGCTTTAACGTTCGCCAACGTCCATACCATGTTGAATACACCGGTTCTCGTCCGATCACCGAAGTTAAGCAACATCGGGCGTGGTTAGTACTTGGATGGGTGACCGCCTGGGAATACCACGTGATGTTGGCATTTTGCTCTTTATTTTCGTGTGATCTTGTCAGACATTCAGTGCCATCTATCGAATAGATAGGAAATCATTTCGCAAGGAAATTTTACCAATGTATAAATTGTTTTAATTGTTTTTAATATGTAGGTAATAGCCGCTTTCATAGATGGCGTTGTAATTAAAATCGTGTCAAATCAGTTTTACTCGATCGTCACAACTTCGTTCCTATCGGGTGTCCCACGACACCACACGGCTTTTTTTTTATCTACAAAGACCATTTGTAGCCACAGTTTGTAATTTTTTTTTTTATAATGTCCATGTTGTGGTCCTCTATAATTGTGGAAGCACAAGGCATCAAATTATTTCTTGTTGGGGACCCAAATAAAATAGAATAAAAAAAAACACCAACAGCCTTTAGTAGTTCACTGCTGGACCTATGTCCAGAGGACTATTCCTCTCCTTAGAAAGGAGGTTTTGGCTGACTATACCACCTGGCCAGACGAGTTAGCATAGGGTTTCATGTTTCCACTTTTCCTTCTCTTTGCAGTGTTGTTGTCCTGCATAGTTTGCGCCCTTAGTCGGCTCTTACGACATCCAGGGGATGAAAAAGGGTGATGATACTCCGTACTCTTAATCACTCAACAACTTCTAACGTATATTAATCAAGTTGCTCAAAATAATAAACAAAAGAAAACGAAAATCAATCCGAATCTTCTTGACCTTTTTGTGACAAAGAGTGGGCAGATTATTCATTTAAGAAAAATAATACATGCAGCCTGGCGTGTACCCCCGCTCCCTGGCGTGTACCCCCGCTCACTGGCGTGTACCCCAGTGTAAAATAAAATCAAAAAATCTGATTTTTTTCTTCATCAATCATCATTAAAAGGATATTTGTATGGTTAGATAAGTTCGATCGAACTAATCTCGAATCTCGGGTCGTAACGAAATCTTTAGACTACTTTGGAGGTTGACGAGTTTCGTTGTCGAAAATTTCTTGTTTTCATTTGTATGTATGGTAATTTTCAAGGGAACTTGGTCGAAAACTCACAAAAGTCAATAGTGACTCCCACTTCGGTTCGATCCTAATGCAAAGATTGGCCATTGTCGTCATTTTACGCGGTAATGCAACAAGTGTGATGTTTCAATGCTATAAATTCGGAAACGATCGGGGACGGGTTAATTTAATTAAAACATTTTTTTTGTGTTAATTTGCTCGTTTTTATGTCTGCGTCTGTAATATATTTTTTGTAAAGTTCGTTTATAATGTAATAATATAATGTATGTAATCTAAATTGAAAATTATTCGTAAAAATACTCTGCGATTTTAGTCGGCCAACTTGTAAATCTGCGCCTTTGCGGTAGCTCTAAGAATTCATTTGTCAAACTGACAGATTGACAATTCAATGACTCAATTCAGCCAGCTGACTTTTGCAGTGACTTCTAGGTTGACGTGCTAAGATTCATGAAATACAAATGTAAAATGTGAGAAGTGGGAAAATAAAGCCTTTGCTAAAAAAGAAATGAAAATGTGAATTAAACAAATTAGGTTCAAATAGAAGATTGATTCCTAATACCATTCGAGTTGTAATGTAAATCCTAAAAATGGTTTTACCTAGAACATTAAATGTGCGTAGAATCTTGCTACAAAACCAGACTTTTTTCAGGTTAGTAAAATATTTATACCATATCCTAAGGTTATGTATTACTAAAATCTTCTAATGGTAATTGTTACATTAATAACTCTTCCTGTAGTTTTCAGGGTCATTACGTAAATAGACAAATTGACGACGTTAGATGTCATTGCCATGGCAGTGAAAAACAGAAACGAACGTTTCTTAGTTTTCCAAAATCATCTCGTACCAGAGAGTACAGTGGGCGACAACTAGTAGGGTAAGGTCAATTTTCAATACAGTTATTTTGGTTACCATTGGACCACCTACGGACATGTTGCTACAGTTTGATTATTTTGTTTGGAATAACTATATAGTAAGTATGATTTCACTTAGCTCAATATACTACACCCAAGGATTTAAAAATAAAAATGGTGTAAGCTAAATCTACATTAACTGTAGGACAACATTGGACCATATTTTTTAAATGTCTTTAAAATACAATCATTGCCATTTTTTTTAATACTGGTAACTTCAAACAATATTAAAAATTAAACTTTAAACATGTAAAAAAAATAATGAAATAAATAATTATATGTATTATATCTGTACTCACTAGGTTGACCTGAGTACAGATTATTATTATACAACAAGCACTTGTTGAAATATTTAAACAAGTTTTAAAACTTTTAAATTTAAACATTCCCAACATTTATATGAAAAATCATCATAATCCTTTCTTCCTGCCCAATTTTATATGGGGATGGAGTAAGGTTTTGGCTGGTTTATTTTATGGCCTATTTTATAGTTGTTGGCATTTCAAAGGCAGAAAGTAAATTAGGGCTTAATAAAGAAAAATAATGAATTAAAAAAAAAACTAAACAAGATCACAGACTTATTTCCTTAGGTTTCATACATCTGTATGTTGACAAGTCTGTCCCTTTGTGTAACAACATAAGGACAGATGTATCATGTATATAAATATATTAATTTTAGACACCTAATTACTTGAGGACAATAAAAAAGTATTTATTTGTGTTGTTATACACAAAATGCTTGAGAACTCTAGACTAATAGTAGTAATTATAATATATAATTTATTGTTTTGCTTAAAATTCATATAATATAAAAACAAAAAAAAAATTTTTTATGTCATGAAATACCACAACTAACTAATTTCTAGGTTAAAACATTAAAAACTTTTTAAAGTATGTAGGTGAGCGGCAGGCAATAACCAGTATTTTAAGTAAGGGTACTTGGATTTATTATTTTATAAACAAAGAATATACAATTCCAAAATATCTTTCACATAATACTATGTACAAAGAACAATTAGATTCACAAGAAGAGATCAGGAGAAGCTCATGAAGGTGGCTGGCTATACAAGAAAAATCCTAAATCATTTTACAATGACATAGGAGTGCATGAAAGAGGATGTGTGATCAAGGAGAATGGCAGAAGTAAAATCATTGCACCGACTCTAAATGAATTTGGGACGAGGGTAGGAAGATGATGATGATTATTTTACATAGGAAATAGGAGTGTGCTGTAATTTTGTGGTCCAATGTTACCCTAAATGACTACGTTATTCTGTTTTAAACAGACAATCATTGCAAACTTTACGAGTACAAGGTGTGATTTAAATGATGAATATTAAAACATTTTGTGGTAAGATGTTCTTGCACTTATTGAATTAATTTATCTTAAATACATTTGCATAATTCCCCATCAACCTTAGTTATTTCACATTCAGTGAGTGTGACTTTCATTTGCATAATGTTAATGTCACATGTCTTAGGTCATTTGAAATTACATGGTATTATAATAAATTGATGGGATATATATTTGTTGTATATGCAAGATTTTTTTTGTTTTATTTTCTATATAACATTTAGGTTTTAGACCATAATGATATTTGTTGTATAGAAAATAACCATAACAGAAATACAGGCTAATTGTTTTCTTTTCGAAAGTGATAAATTAAGTAAGTAATAAAATCTAAGAAACCGCCAAACTGTTTGTTTATTATCTTATTGTTGAATATGGGATTTCAGATACACAATGGAACAAATGTTTGAAGTGGTATCTGATGTGGATAATTATTATAAGTTCCTTCCATGGTGCAAGAAATCAATAGTACTACAGCGAAACCCTAGTAATTTGAAAGCAGATTTGATTGTTGGTTTCCCTCCAATAAATGAGTCTTATACATCAAATGTGACTCTAGTCAAACCACATTTGGTGAAGGCTGAATCCATGGACAGCAAGCTTTTTTATCACATGCTTACTTTGTGGAGGTTTAGTCCTGGGCTCAAAAGAGAAAAACAGTCATGTGTAATTGATTTTCAAATAACCTTTGAATTCCGCTCTGCACTGCACTCCCAGCTATCAAATTTATTTTTTGACCAAGTGGCGCGACAAATGGAGGGAGCGTTCATCAGAGAGGCTGCCAGACGCAATGGTCCAGCTACCTTAAAGCCAAGAAATCTACTTAAAACAGATGTTAAAAGTTGACAAAAGTCCCTGTGTTAGTATGTAATATTAATAGGTATTAAAGTATATTTATTTTAAAGATTTGTGTATGTGTGATTTTTTAATAAGAATCAATTGATGAATGTTATGTTACTGTAAAGAAGCAAAGCTTCAAATTTTTGTTACTAGGTAATAATAAACAATAAATTAAGAAAGTACATTTATTTACATTTGGCCACATTGTGATATAGTTACTGGTATTTTTGGCTTATTATTAGGTCCAGTGGGAACATTTTCAATTTTTCTCATAACAAGTAATCCATCAATAACACGTCCAAATACCACATGTTTATTATCAAGGAAGTTACACTTTGCACAAGTTATGAAGAATTGGCAGCCATTAGTATCTTTACCACTATTAGCCATAGATAATAAGCCAGGTGAATCATGTTTTAATACAAAATTTTCATCTGCAAATGTACTACCACCATAAATGCTCATAACTCCAGTGCCATCACCCTGTAAGATTATTTCAATTATAAAATCAAATTTTCACTTTCTTGCTATGTTTATGTCATTACATACATTACATATCTAAGTTTTTTAATTGTTCATATACTCACATTAACGAAATCACCACCTTGAATCATAAAATCTTTGATAACTCTATGGAATGTGGCGCCTTTATAACCAAGCGGTACTCCATCCCTTCGATATTCACCTGTGCAAAATTCTCTAAAATTCTCACTAGTTTTTGGTACAACATCAGCAAACAATTCAAAAATCATCCGCCCAATTTCCTTAAAAAGAAAGCATATACATGTTCAGGTATAATAATTTTCAGAAATAATTGTTATTAAAAATCCAAAAATGTACTTACTGTTGTTCCTACAGTAACATCAAAGAATACAACAGGATTGTTTGGATTCCTAAGTTGAGATTGAATTTGGTTCCAAGTAGGCATTTTAATTACAGATGTGACAGAACTTTATATTTATTTTGAATAAAGGTGTCTATTAATGTACAAAGTATAATATAAAACTAGTTTAATCCTTACAATAATAGACTTATTTTAAAACCTAACCCTTCCCAGCTAGTTTACAAACCTACTTTTTGATTTTTGATGAATAACATTTGACAACTTTGGTCAGTATTGCCAGTTCTGCTATAATCAGAAGCTCTAAAAATGATAGTTCGCTTGATTTTTTCTTTGAATTGATTGGGCGTTACCTGCCAAATAATGCCGAAAATGGTCATTTAAATATTACAGATAATTAGTTGCCCATGTTAACGCATAATATTTTTAAATTTCTTTCACTAAAAGTTTTAAAGTTATTTCACAAAATCATTTCCTGCTGGGGTATCGTTTGTAACATTACGCAATCAGTCATTTCTTTTAAATTGGAATATTGATAGGAGTGTTAGCTAAATAATTAGTTATCTAGACGAGTTAAATGTTACAATTTAATTTGTATTTGCTTCGGCTGCGAAGTTATTCGAGATCCTGCTAGAGTAACGTTTGTAGGTTTGCTGGATCTCTGAAACGGGTAAGTGGATTGTAACCATCTTTTGTACATAACTTCTTAGGAATTAGTTTTAATTTTTTTAATAATTAAAAAAAAAAGCAAAAATAATACACAGTTTAAAGCTTATTTTATTGAGTATGAAAACACTTCAATACGCTTTAACACTTTCATTAAGACCTCTAAAGACTTACTTTAAACGTTATTTTATAGCAAGCTATAAAATACATAAAACGAACATGTTAGTATACTGTAACTAAAAAGTTATGAAATCTAGCTCCAAGTTCACAGATAAATAAACTGAAGGTTATATCAATAATTAGTTACTTAGTACAGTTGTCTACCTGTAAAATTTCAGCGTAAAACACAATAATTTAACGAGATAATTAAATATCAAGAGAAGGTGCCCGACCATGTTTAGGTGGTTACAAAAAAGCGATCGCGGTACATTAAGCTGTCTTCTAAAATATGTATGATCTCGAATAACTTTACAACCAAAACAAATACAAATTATATAAATATATAAATACCTCACACATCTCACACACGGCCGGCTGATCCCAAACTAGGCAGAGCCTGTGCTATGGTAACCAGACTGCTGATAAACATACTTATATATTTTTAAATACATACATATTATAGATAAATTACACCCAGACACAGAACAAATGACCGCGCTCATCACACAATATTTGTCCTGGGTGGGAATCGAACCCACGACCTCCGGGTTAGCAGTCAGGGTCACTAACCACTAGACCAACAGGCCCGTCGTTATTAAATTATTAAATTAAATTGAAACATTTACCTCCTAATACTTATTTCAATATTCGTACTCTTTTCTACTCTCATTTACATTTGTTAAATTCTTATCTGAAACTGGCCATAGCGGATGCTTTTGGAGCAAATACTTTGTTTGACGGTGCCTGGGGGAAATTAAACCAGTTGTTTGGTGGAATATATTGTATATGCAGTTCTATCAAATTAGGGGCGGGGTTGGGTGTGCTCCAAAAGGCCAAGATCGCCTGGAGCAGATCCAATCCTGGTACGCCCTCCTGTCCGGAGGGCGTACACGGCGAATGGTCATGGGGGAGAGCGCAACAGTCGTGTAGATCCCCATGGCAAGTCTGGGTGTCATCCTTCCCGTGGTTGCCGCCTGTTTTAGGTCTGATTCCCTACGAAACAGATATAACAGAAACACCCAGACGCAATTCCATCCCACAAAACCCATCCCTTCCCATTTTCTATCCCATCCACACCTACTGCGGACACTAAGTGGTTGGTGCCTGCGGCCTCACTATCAACAAAGACTGAGAGTGAGGGGGAGGGGGGGCAACCACCCGCATGTTTGTGCCGTGTGCGGGGACCCGTAAGGGAGGATGAAGGGATCCTGGTAGTTGAGCTGAAAGGCAACACACTGCTTTGGCCTGGATTTCTCTTTACACGGGAGGCTGAAGGCTAGCCACCTTTGGTCAATCGGCTGTAGTATCCCGTCAGAGGGCTGCTGGGCGAGAGCTCTTCCTTGGTGGGGGTGGACGACGGGTGGGACGACCAAGTCTTCCTACCTAGTTCGGCCTGCCTTCTGCCAGGGAGGGAGCTCTATATTTCCTTGTCACTTCTGGCGTCGTGTGCCTTCTGCCGCGGCGTCCCCACTTGAGGGCTCCAAGGAGGGTGGAAGGACAAGGAGATGAATAGTATACCAAAAAAACTATGGATACTGAAAAACCAAATAATAAAAAAACCACCAAGCCGGTACCGAGGGTGAACAACCCAAGTGCCAGGCTAAACCACCAATCGGCTGACCCCAGGGTGAACAACCCAAGGGTGAAACCGGCAAATACACCATTGGCTGCTGCTCAGGCAAACAACCCGACCGCAGCGCCATCCACGACTCTGGCGACACCTCTGGTGTCTAACCAGAATACGGAGCCAGTGTCGACCATCGACCTCTCCTCTTTGAGGGCAGCAATGCCCGTACCTGCGGGACCCGGCCTGGAAGAAACCGGCTGGAGCCTGGTAAGGACAAAGAAGAGAGCGTCGAAAAAACCAAACCCGTCCAAGAAGACCCGTAACGCCAACAGGGCGAAAGCCCGAGTGGAAAGGCAAGCACGGTGTCTGACCTCGGGTGGAAGTAAGCGGCTTGAAGTCGCTGAAGGGCCCGAAGGGGCCCACGTTGCCCCCGCCAGTGACGTGCTGCCCCGAGGCGAAGACGAAAGTCAAGCCACGGGGAAGTGTACTCCTGTGGGGGCGCCACCTGCCAAGACGCCTGTAGCGGCCAAAGTACCCTCTAGGCAGGGTCAACCTGGACAGGGTAAACGGGCGAGACGAGCGACACGTGGAGGGAAACCTTCAAGTGATACAAAGCCCGTCAAAAGAACTCGCCCGGACGAGTCTCGCACTCCCCAGGGCAGTGGCAAGCGATTCAAACCGCTGCCAAAGACCGGCTCCACGAGCTACTCCGACGCACTAAAGGCGAATGACCTTTGCGTCGCGGTCATGCTGGAGCCTTACCACGACCTCACCAAGGCACAGGCAGAGGACATCGAGGGCCAGCTGCAGGGCGTGCTAGATGAGGAGATCTTCTCGCCCGGCGCGTCAAGCGCACCCGTCGCTGCGCCACAGTTTAGGGGCAAGGCCTTCTACAGTGAGGGCGCCCTTAAGATGTGGTGCAACGACGAATATGCCCTACAGTGGCTTCGCCGATCCCTGGTGAGGATCCCATCACCACGTGAAGGCACCAAACTGGTCGTCAGGAGGCAGTCTGAGATCCCGAAAAGGATCAAGGCTGGACTCCTGGTACCACAAATCGGACCAGATGATACACTGGTCCGTATTCAAACGAGGCTAAAGTACCAGAATAGCCAGTACAATGTGGCCAACTGGGCCCTCTACCATGCCGAGGCGCAGGAGGAAAAGAAATGTCTCTTCCTAGTGCTCGGCATCCCAGAAGAGGACGTCGTGAAGCTCAAGGCTAGCGAGCGTAGAGTATACTACAAACTGGGTAACCTCTGCGTCCGCTTCCTTGATGAACGTCCCGCCCCACCAACTAACCCAAACGAGGAGCCATTCGAGGGAGGAGGAGAATCGGCCCTACAACACCCTAAGGACGGCAATGGAGGGGATCCTCTGAGACCCGTTGAGGAGACAGCCTGCCGGGGTCCACCTCCTAAGGAGTTGGAGGACCTACCGGTGGGCGAGAGTGACCTCGACGACATAGAGGATATGCTGAACAGCGATGATGGCGCTGTCTGCACCCCCCCATAACACCCTTATAGCCATCCAAACCAACCTCCAGCACAGCTATACAGCAACGGCTACCCTACGCAGAGAGCTGGAGGTAAAAACCAACACCGTAGCCCTAATCCAGGAGCCGTGGATTAGGAAGGGCAGGATCTGCGGTCTAAATAATATTGGAGGTAAGATACTTCTCAACACTACCATTGATAACCCGCGCACTTGTATTTATACACCAAAACATGCGTGTACTACCTTAATGACCGAGTTCTGTTCCAGAGACCTTACCTCTATTAGGTTAAAGGAACCCTCATCAAACCTGCCTGACGTGGTGATAGCATCAGCCTACTTGCCGGGCGATGCTGACATCCCCACTCCGGAGCTGGCTGCGCTGGCACACCACTGCGAGCGCGAGGGTCTGGAGCTGATCATCTCTGCCGACACCAACGCGCACCATGCGCTATGGGGCAGCAGGAGCAACAACCGGAGAGGTGAGGAATTTGTATCGTTCCTATTATCAACTAACCTTAACATTATCAACGTGGGCTCGGAGCCGACATTTGTCACGTCCAGGGCCCAAACTATAATTGATCTTACATTAGCAAGTGAGCATGCATCGCAACACATATCGAACTGGCATGTTTCGAACGAAGCATCGTGCTCAGACCATCGCTGGATCAAATTTAACTTTGAAATGAAACTTAAACTACCCGATCCCCGACGGAATCCCCGCACGATGGACCGGAAACGGTATGAACATCTTACTGCGGAGAATCTGCGAAGCATCAACCAAACATACGCTACGGGGACTGTTAAGGACATTGACAGTCATGTTGTCAACCTTACACAGACACTGATCGATTGCTTTGAACAAACATGCCCACTTTCCACACCCAGAACTGGACCACAGAACAAACACCAATGGTGGGGTCCGGAACTGGAAAGACTACGTCGTAAAGTGAGAAAGTTGTTCAATAAAGCAAAAAACTCGCGACTAGACCAACATTGGGATGCCTACACGCAGGCCCGACAACAATATAAGAAGAGAATCAGAACCAGGAAAACTGAGTGCTGGAGAAACTTCTGTACTAACATAGAGAACAACAACCAGGCCAATAGAGTCAAAAGCATACTGTGTAGTAGAGGCGAACACAATCTTGGCTCACTGAAGAAGCCTGATGGTAAGTATACCAAAACAGACTCGGAAGCC